GCGATTTCAAGACGGAGTGAGAATTTATTCGAGACAAATGGGAGCTGATAAACGAGATTTATTCAGAGGCAGCGGTTGGGGAGCCTGTTGCACTAGATCATTTCAGTGATATTCATTACGGATTGGGCTAATAAAACCCCGAGAAAAATAATGGGAAATGGCTTTATACTCGGTCTCGCTACACGTGCGACAGATGCCGGTCGAAATGCGTCAGAGCTCAAACCGGGATTACGTTTGGGTGAGTGTAGGTGTATATTTAACTTCCGCGGGTGATAAATGGCGTAGCGTTCAGCTCGTAGAATTTTTATGGCCGCTCCTCTGACGGATGGCAACAGATGAAAACGTAAAACTGAGCATTAATATTCAAAAGTGCAAAGGCATGGGCATGGGGAGGGGTGGAGAAGGCGGGATGTGTGCCGTTTTCTATGAGCTTTGGTCTTTAAGGGGGTGCCCTTGAAAATGAGGAATCTTGTATTGCAATTAAGGGATACACCGAGTAGGAATATATTTTTTGTTTCTCTCTCTCAAGAATAATTTCGTTGGTAATTGTGGTTCGGTGTTTATAGACAATTTTGGAAGATTTTTTTCTCTTCTTCTTTCACTTATGCCAACGCCGAGAGGAGCACCTGTTACCTTAATGGGAGATGAATTAAATTCGATTAAATAACAAAGCCTGGCGGGGGATTCCTCCGTGAGATGTCGGTATTAAAGAGGCTGAGTTTAATCTCCGGCGCTGAAGTTGATTCGCCGTCTTCCTGCTCTCGCTTTGCCTGTTTATCTATTTATTTGTCTGTCTATTTGCTGCTTCCTTCGCCTCTCTCTCTCTCTCTCTCTATCTATGTAAATCTATATCTGTCTCTCTGTCTTCTATCTGTATGTGTATGTATATATATATTCATACACATACACATACACAGATATATTGTCTATCTGCCTTTTTATCCATCAGTCTATCTATTTATCTCTGCCAATTTCTCTTTATTTATCTATCTATCTCTGTCTTTGTATCAGTATATCTCTATATCTCTTTTCTCTCTGTCTTTCTCTCTCTCTTCCTTCCTCATTCATCATTCACCCCCCCTCGTGTTCTCCTCTATCGTATTCAATTAATAGGTACTCTTATTACCTTCTACCCCCCCCCCCTTTCTGTACACCACTCCTTGCGTAACCCAACCGTAGGATAAAAGCCTCCCCCCCTCCCCCTCTCCCCCCCTCTGATCCCATATTACTCTACCCATCATACCACCCCTAATCCTCCCCCTACAACCCTCCCACCCCCACCCCCTCCCCTCCCTGTTTCACTGGTGATGGAAGGTTAGCGTGATTCCTCGCGATGTTAGTAAAATCATCTTTCTCCTCCTCCTCCCACCTCCCTCTCCCCCTCCTCATCCCTTCTCCCCCTCCCTCCCTCCCTCCCTTCTTCCCGTCTTCCCTACCCTCCTCCCTCTTCCCTTCTCCCCCTCCTCTTCTCTCCCCTCCTCCCTCTTCCCTTCTCCCCCTCCTCTTCCCTCCCCTCCTCCCTCTTCCCTTCTCCCCCTCCCTCCCTCCCTCCCTCCCTTCTTCCCGTCTTCCCTCCCCTCCTCCCTCTTCCCTTCTCCCCCTCCTCTTCCCTCCCCTCCTCCCTCTTCCCTTCCCTTCTCCCCCCTCTTCCTTCCCTCACCACTCCCTCCCTCACCCCTCCCTCCCTCCCTCCATCCCTCCCTCTTCCCTCCCTTCCTCCCCCCCCCCTCCCCCCCCAAACCCATCTACGTCACGCTGTGAGGTCGAGGCGGGAGTCCCATTGTTCCGTTATATACACTCTACGTTCGTTTTGCAATGACGTGTGTCTCTTTCCCCTCGTATTGGTTTACTGTTACGGTGTTTCCCTCGTACTGATTGCCGTCGAGAGTCGTTACCCAGCTGTTTCTTAACCCCCCCCCCCCACTCGCCTTTTTTGTTTTTTCCTTCCTCGGTTTTTACGACTTTTTTTTTCGAAAAAAGAAAATCGTGCTACTTAGTGATATACGGATATGTATATCTAGCTTTATCGTCGTATGTAGTTGATAGGTGTATATGTTGATATAGATATGGATTTGCATATATAATTTGCGTGTGTGTATGTGTGTGTGTGTGTGTGTGTGTGTGTGTGTGTGTGTGTTTTACTTGTGAATCTTTCAAAAAATGATAATAGACAAAAAGTACATATATTTCACAAATCACCAATATGCAGTTGCAGTATTCGCCAGTAGCAACAAATATATTTGCAAGAATCCATACCGCGACTTTAAAATGTCAGTGTCATTAGTGCAATTGGCCCAATATCTACCGAGACCTTTACCCGGTATTCATACAGGTATTGCAGCCTTGCAACCTATGCTTTGTCGCGTCATTAGCTCCAAAAGGAAATGATGATATCGTGATGCAATGGGGAATATGCAATAGCAGTGATGATACCGATGTTAAGATAGTATTAACGGTTACTGATAGGAATGATATGACAATGGTAATGTTAACCATGATGGTAGTCCTACTAATAATGACAATAGTAAGGATAACAACAATAATGGTAACAATATACAAGTACTCGACCAAATAAAGAAAATAAACAAACTGACTCAATAGAAAAAAAATAGATTAACACCCATGACACCGACACCAACAAACAAACAAAAAGTACAACAGGCAAACAAACCAGCCTGTTCTAACTGTGAAACCCCCCCTCCCCCCCTTAGCCCTCCCCCCCTCCCCATTATCCCCCCTTAACTCCTCTCCTTATTACCCCCTTAACCTCCTGCTTACCCCCTTCGCCACCACGAGACAAGTACGACCACTTAAGCGCCGAGTGTTGTAGCGCACGACCACCGCCGCCACTGGTCGTCTTGGTTGATGTGAAGTACTCTGTCCGTCACTGGCGCTTCGGTTTGTTTGTTTGTCTGCTGTTTCTCTCTCTCTCTCTCTCTCTCTCTCTCTCTCTCTCTCTCTCTCTCTGTCTCTCTCTTTTTGTTTACTTTTTTGGGGGTTCTTGTGGTTCTTGTCTCTCTTCTTATGTGACACCATTTTTCATTGTTTTTTCTTCATTCCTGACGTACATTGCTACTGTATATGTTGTATTTGTATTTTATTATTTTCATTATTATTCTTGTTGTTGTTGTTATTATTATTATTAATATTTCCATTATTTTTTTTTATTTTCATTATTATTATTATTATTATTATTATTATTATTATTATTATTTGCTCCATCAATCATCATCATCATTACCATCGTAATCCTTAAACATTAGTCATCAGCGTCGTCATCATCATCATCATCATCATCATCATCATCATCATCATCATCATCATCATCACGCCACGCCACTCATCCCGAGCTGCCTGCCCTCCTGTCAATATATCTACACGGTTACGCTATCTATCTGTCTATCTATCTATACATCTGTGTCTCCTCTTCGTCCGCCTGTCCCGTCTATTTACGTCGCGCATCTGCTTGTAATCGCGTAAGATACTTTACGAACACTAATCACCTCCGTTTATGGCCAGATTATCCGCTATGGAATGATTAACCGGACGTATAGATTAAGCAGATCTCGGCACGATCCGGTTAAGAGGATAATGAGAGGGGGGGGGGAGGTGGAGGGGGTGGAGGGAAGAAAGAGGGAGATGGGGAGAATGAAGGGGAGGGAGGGGGGAGGTGGGGTAGCGGGAGAGGGGAGGTGGAGAGGGAATGGAGGGAAGAGAGATGGGGAGGAATGAGAGGGGAGGGGGGGAGGGGAAAAGTGAGGGCGGGGGGCGGTGGAAGGGGGAGGGTGGAAGAGGGGAAAAGAGGAGGGGGGAATGAAAGAAGATGGAGAAAGAGAGAGAGGGAGGAAGGGGGAGCGAAAGAGAGAAGTGAGGGAGGAAAGAGGAAGGAGAGATAGGAGGAAGGCCCGAATGGAAGGAGGGGGGAAAGGGAGTTGTGAAGAAACAAAGGGGAGGAAAGTGAATAGGGGAATAGGGAGGGAAGAGGAGGATGAGAGAGGAGGGTATGATGGGGAAAGTGAGGGAATAGATTGAAAGGGGAGGGGGAGGGGCGGGAGAAGGGGTTGGGAAGGAGGGAAAGGAAAGATGGTGGGGGAGAAGAGAGGGAAGAGGATTGCGATAGAGAGAGAGAGAGAGACAGACAGACAGACAGACAGACAGACAGAGAAAGAGAGAAGAGAAGAAAGAGAGAATAGGTGAATGAGAGGAATAAGTGAGTGGAGGGTAAAGAAATATGTAAATCTGTCTCGGTATAATTAACACTCTCAGAAAAATCGGGTTTCAGGTCAGCCAGTGGAGCGAATCAGGACCAGCGTATTTAAGGGCAAGTAACCGCACACAGCACGATCGTACGTCAGCGTTACCTGCCCTCTCGAAGCGCTAATGCCTCGGCCGGCGGAGTTACGAAAGCACTTGGAAGTGTATTACGTGTTTTTATCGATGCTCGGGTATAGCGTTCGATGGATTTTTTTTTTTTTTTTTTTTTTTTTTTTTTTTTTTTGGGGGGGGGATTATTGAGATGTGTAAAGACGAGAGCTTGTAGAGGCTTTCCTTGGCGATTCAAGGGGGGGGGAGGGAGGTTATGTGGGTGAAACATGTGTATGTTATGTTTATGGGTTCGTTTATGTCTCTTTTGTATGTCTATTTCCAAGTTTTTTTGTTTGTTTTTTCTGCCTGTCTGTGTACCGGTCTCTCCCACGCGCGTGCATTTAAGGATTATTTTTTTTCTTGTGTATGTGACTAAGTACATATTTATTCGGGATTCTTTAACCCCGCCCAAATCCTTTCCATTTATCGAGTAAAGGCATAATGGGGAAAAAAAAGCTAGCATATATTTTCATTCTGTTCGGTCATATTTATTTCTGTTTCACGTTTACTAATCTATTTATTTACGTGCTTATGTTTCTGTCGATTTAATTGTGTATAATAGAATTATGTTCAGTGTATTTCTTTACTTCCTTTATCCAGTAACTCACCTCGCCTGTCTTTCCCGCCCCTGACAGGTACCTGGGCGTGGTGGGCGTGACGCCGATGTTGCCCCAGGGCGACCAGGAAGTGCAGAACGTCAGCACGTCGTCAGCAGTGAGCATCTGTCAGCACCTGCCGGGGCTAGTGCAGCAGCAGGTGGCCGTGTGCCAGAGCAACCCCGACACCATCAAGAGCGTGAGCGCCGGCGCCCGCAGAGGCATCAACGAGTGCCAGTACCAGTTTCGCAACGAGCGCTGGAACTGCACGACGGGCGTGGACCTCGACGTGCCCTTCGGGTACACGCTTAAGCGAGGTCAGTGCCACGGGTCACGGATTCCTTTTTTTCAGACGTTTAATAAAGAATAGTAAACAGATATTTTCTTGAACTGTAGTGTGTAGATTATGAATTCATATTTGTTGATATGTAAATAAAAGGTAGGTACGTGATTTATAGGGTCACTTGATAAAGGAAATAGATACTATACTATCCTGTTAGTATCTAAAAAAATACTCCGTGCTTAGTTAAAAGCTGCGAGAAATGAACACGCATATATATATCAGTAACAAAGAAAAGAAACGAACTGTAAATGGAAAATAGAGAGAAAAAAGATTACAGGAGGTTAAGCAGGCGAGCGAGAAGCTGTTCTGACACGAACCATTTCGCCCCCCCCCTCCCCCTCCCTTCCCCACCCCCTCTGAACCCGCCCCTAAGTCTTTCCATTCGCACCCCCCCCCCAACCTTTTCGTCATGATTTTATACCCCCCTCTCTTCTCTCCTCTTTCCTTTTCCCCTTCTTTACTACCACTTCCCCATTCCCCAACCTCTCCTTCATCTACCGCCCTCCTCCTCCCCCCCTTTCCTACACCCCTCCCCTTCCTCCTCCTCTTTCTTCCCCTTTCCTTTTCCCCTCCCCTTCTTCCTCTCCCCTCTTCTCCACCCTCCTCCCTCTTTATTCTTCCCCATCCTCCTCCCTCCCTCTTCCCCATCTTCCCCATCCTCCTCCCTCCCTCTTCCCCATCTTCCCCTTTCCCCCTCCCCACCCTCCTCCCCTCCCCCCCTTCTCCTCCCCCACCCTTCTCCTCCCTCCCCCCACCCTTCTCCTCCCTCCCCCCACCCTTCTCCTCCCCCACCCCCTTCTCCTCCCTCCTCTCATTCCAGAATCTCACGTGATTTTATCTGAGCGGTCACTAGGCGGCTAATAACTTCCTCACACGCCGCATTACCCTCGGTTAAGGGGGGTTTGGGGGGGAGGAGGAGGAAGGGAAGGAAGGAAAGAGGGAGGAGAAAAGGGAGGAAGGAAAGAAGGAGGAGAAAAGGGGGGAAGGAAAGAGGGAGGAGAAAAGGGAGGAAGAGAGGAGGGGAAGAGGGGGGAGCAGGGAGGAGATGGAGAGATAGTTTTTTTTTTTTTTTTTTTTTTTTGGGGGGGGGGGCAGGGAGGAGTTGGAGAGTTGCAGAGAGGCTTTTTTTGTGAGGGGGGGAGGGGGAGGTGGGGAAGAGAAAATAGGTGGTAGAATGGAAGCAGAGAGAGAAGAGTCGGAAGGAGGAAGAAGGGAAGACGAGAAAAAAAGGAGGAGGAGAAGTAGAAGAAAAGGGATTGGGAGAAATAATCGGAGAAGAGCAGGTAGCAAGGGAAAAAAAAAAACACGAGAAAAGAACATTAACGAAACAAAAGGAAGAGGAAGTTGGAAGGACCGATAGAAGAAGAAGAAGAAGAGAAAAAAGAAAAAAAGAAGATGAAAGAGAGATGCGCGCGAGAAAAGAGAGAGAGAGGGGGATAAGAGAGAGATAAGAAAAAGTAGAACACAGGACACAGGATGCATAGAGGACTCAAAGAAGGAGTGAAGGAAGTGGAAGGATCTCTAGGTTCTCACGGTGGGGGGGTGGGGGGTGGGGGGTAGCAAGAGGGGGGAAGGAGAATGGAGAGATGTATAGATTGATAGAGATGGAGGGAGACCGGCGTAAGGAGGGTGGTAGAGAGAGGGAGAAAAGGGAATAGATGGATTGGTAGATAGATTGTGATGAAGAAAGATAGATGTAATGAGAGAGATAGAGAGAGGAAGAAAAGGGAGATAGATTGATGTAAAGGTAGGTAGTGTTGGAAAATGAGTAATGGAGAGAGAGGGAGAAGGAGAGAGAGAGAGAGAGAGAGAGAGAGAGAGAGAGAGAGAGAGAGAGAGAGAGGCAGAGAGATGATATAAGGAGAGAGACAGACAGAAAGGGAGTGAGAGAGGTCAAGAGACGCCCTTCTAACGGGGTCAAGGATGCTCCTCTGTTTAGCCAGGGACAATAAAACGCAACATGAAGAAATTGACACTTCACAAGAAAGGTCAGGCAGGTCGTCCTTGTCACCCGCGCGCCCTTTTATGGCGTGCGATGGGCGGCTGTGCTTGTGCAGAGTGGGCGCCGCCGCTCTCTCTCGCGGGCGGATTGCAGCTCGCCCGCGCGCCCGCCGCCCGGATCCGCTTCTTTAGTTTTGCTTAGTATGGTTGGGATTATATTTTTTTTATTTTCTTTTTCTTTTTTATTATTATTATTATTTTTACTGTGTGTGGGTGTCTTCTCTTTTCTTCGCTTCTTCTTTGTCTTCGCCATTTTTTTTCTCTCTCCCTCTCTCTCCGTGCGTTTTTCCCATTTTCTTGTTTTTGTCCTTTTTATACTTCGTCTTTCTCTCTATTTCTTCTCTTCCTTCTTCTATTTTTCCCCTCTATATAGATGACTTACCTCAGTTGTGCATTATCCATTTTTTGCGAACCGTTACGTAATATGATTCCTTTTATATAATTATTATCTTCATTATCCCTCCCCCCTTTTCCATGTGGACATCCATAGTTATGCAAATTAGCTCCAAAGAGGGAAGGATATGAAACGTATTCTCTCTCTTTTTTTTTTTTTTTTTTTTTTTTTTTTAGGAAAATGAAATCAATATACTTCCACAAGGATAAGAGGGAGAGAAAAAAAAATAATAGTCCCCCATCCAAACCCTTTGTCCACTCTTCACCCTTTGCTCTTCGCTTTTCTCTCGATCCTTGCATCAACAGGGCCCTTCTGCTGCACCCCGCCCCCCCCTCTCCTCCCCTCTCCTCCCTCCCCTCCCCTCTCCTCTCCTCCTGTCTGCTAGGAGAAGGATGCAGGGGACGACTGGTGGGGGTACGTATGTTCTCTCTCTCTCTCTCTCTCTTCGTCTCTCTCTCTCTCTCTCTCTCTCTCTCTCTCTCTCTCTCTCTCTCTCTTCGTCTCTCTCTCTCTCTCTCTCTCTCTCTCTCTCTCTTCGTCTCTCTCTCTCTCTCTTCTCTCTCTCTCTCTCTCTCTCTCTCTCTCTCTCTTCTCTCTCTCTCTCTCTCTCTTCTCTCTCTCTCTCTCTCTCTCTCTCTCTCTCTCTCTCTCTCTCTCTCTTGTTCTTCTCTCCCTCCCTCACCTTCTCCCTCTCCCTCTGCATCCCCCTTAACACAGAACCGCGAGGACGCCCGCGAGAGGGGTGGGCGTGCGTGCCGTCCCTTCCCATGAGCGGCGAGGGAGCGGGATGACGGGCGGCCTGGTATCGGAGCGGAGCCAATGGGCGGGCGGGCGTCGGGGTTGGGGCATTCGGGCACCCTTGGGCATCGGGCATCGAAGCTCACACCCGCCGACGGCCAACAAAAGGGCGCGATGGCGAAGCCGGATAACGGGCCGTAATGCGATGGAGGAACGCACCAATGAACCTGTCCGGACGCATCTGATTAGCGGCCCTTCGTGTAACTGATCCGCACGGGGCGATTGGGAGGAGGGGGGGATGGGGGGGGGGAGAAGGAGGGAAAAGGCGGGGAGGTTGGGAAGGGAAACGGGAGGAAGGGAGGGGGGGTACGGGAGAATGGAGGAAAGGGGGAAGCGGGGAGTTGGGGAAGAGGGAGATAAAGGAAAGGAAAGGTGGATATTCCGAGCGGGGGGAGGGGGTGGGGGTGGAGGGAGGGAGATGGGAGGTTGAAGAAGAAGAAGAAGGAAAAAAGGACCTGGTCTGGGACGCACAAGGAAGAGGAAAGGAGAGAAAATGAAAATAGATGGGTTCAGTGTCGCCAAAGAGGGAAAAAGAGGGTAAAGGACGGTATAGCAAAAGAAAGGAGGAAAGGGAAGGACAGAGTAATAGGGGGGAGAGAGAGGGTGAGGATTGCGTAAGAGGACGAGGGGTTGGGGAAGGGGGGGGAGGAAAGGGGGTTTGTGAAAAGGGGAGGGAGGGGGGAGAAGGGAAAGAGGGAGGATTGGGCCGGAATCGTGGCGGGGAATGGTGGGGGGGGGGGGGGAGATACTACTGGAGGGAGAGAGAATGGGGAACGAGGGTGGGGGGGGGGGGAGAAGAAGGAAAATTACACGAGGGGGAGGAGGAGGATAAAGAGAAATGACGTAAATTTTGAAGTTAACATAAGGGAGCGAGAGAGAGAAAGAGAGAGAGAGAGAGAGAAGGAGAGGGATAGGTAGAGGTAGAGAGAGACAGAGAGACAGAGAGAACATACGTACCTCCCAAAGAAGTGAGCAGAGAAAAACAGACGCCGGAGCCTCCCTCAACTCCGACTGGCCTCTATTGACTGAAGGAGCCATCAGTCAAACGTAAATTTTAAACGCCTGAAGACCTGCGTTGAAGTACAGTATTTACCCTATCAAGCCCATCGTACCAGAAAGCGTATTTTCATATCAAGTGCATCAGCGTCAACCCAATTATCTTTGGTATGGAAATTATTAGCAATTTAATGAACGCGATTAAGGAGAATTATTTTGGATGTAATATGTATGTATACAGTTTGGTTGTATTAATATTACCGTAGTGGCATATCAGATGCATCCCCATTTCGGCAAGGTATATTCAGGTGTAAAAAGTGACCGCGTCTTTGTATACAAGAAACGGGGTGATATTTTAGCCAATCTTTTTTTTTTTTTATGGGGGTTGCGTCAGATATGGTGTGTATATATACTGAAGAAAATCCTCTCTTTCCATGGCTGTAAGATCCGTTGCTGAAACATACACCTCGCTTATTTTGTTCAGTAAATTCGGAGGGATTATGTGCTCCTTCATCGATGTTGTTTTGAGCGTCTGAGCCTGGCTTCTGGTGGAGAAAGTGGACGAGTTACCTGCACGAGTCATGGTGGAGGATGAGGTGGAAATTTTTACTCCGGCGAACACGAGTCGAGGTTTCGGTTTCAAGTCAGTGTTGCCAAGCATTTGGTTTCTGTTACCGTCTCTCGGGTCTCTTCCGTTTGGGTTTCAGCACTGGTTTCGGCACTGGAAGCAGCAAATGGGGTAGTCACATCGCGCGTTCAGTTCGGTTTTGTAACGCCAATTCATA